GGAGATGACGCTAGTCCATTTAGAACAGCCTGCCCAGCCCTGGTGTCTGCGCCTGCTTTCGAACTCAGCAGCTGCAAATGAACCATCCATGCTTGATTCTGTTTGACTGATAAATACAGCAAATAAACCCTGCCCGGATGGCATCCTTGAAAGACCTTGCTCGGCRTGACAATTAACCTCCAAAGAGCATCCGGATCCACTCCAGGTCGACCTGTGTCTTCCCAATTCCAGGGTCTCTGAGCCAGCTCCTTTTGAGGATGTCATCTTACCAGCCCTCAGATCACCGGACAACGTGAGACATGTCATCTCGGTGTATTTATGTTATGTGCCATATCTACTACATCACTCCAGTTTGCAATTATTCCCGGAACTCTAACTATAAATCCAACCGCCTCGCTGGCATTTCCAAGTGGGCGGCGAGCCCAGCTCCTACAATGATTTAGCTAAACCGTTGAGGGATCAGTCAGCCTTATTGAGCTTCAGGATCTCCGTCTCCTAAAGGAGTCTTTAATTTGAACCTGGCAGAAGTGCTGAGCTTGTGGTTTTGTCCACTTGCCCAAACGGACAGGGAACACGGGCTTTGGATGGAAACAGCTTGGTCATCCTGGGAGTCTCGATCCGCCTCCCCTGGCTTGGGCTGCAGTCCCCTCCTCTGGAGCAGATGCTCTCAGAAGCTGACCAGGAACAGCAGAATCCCCTGAAGAGCACGAGACCTCYGGGCCCCTCCCCCGGGATCAGGGGTCTCCAGAAGCCACCTTTATCGGCATCCCATGGATTCAGACTGAGGCTGCACTCTGGAAAACATTGTTCCAGAATCCGGGGCCACTAACAGCTCCTCCTCCTCTGGCTGGGCAGCGCCCACATCCCATTCAGCTGTCCCTAAGGTCCTATCTCTGTCCATGTTGGCATGTCCAGCTCACCTCTTTTTTATAAATCCCAGTACACGGTGAAACTTAAGCCTCGACTTTGTCTCTGCTTTCCTTCAAATCCCGGTGGATTCCAAGAAGTGTTTGCCTTGTCCCCCTTCACAGGCCTGTCTCCGTCACAGGAAGCTGTTCGTGAAGTTCATCTCCAAATCTCCTGGAGCAGGCTGGGTGGGGTGCTGGTTAGTGAAGATGGCAGGTTCTGTGGGTGGAGAGGAAGTCCAGCACTGGGCCCTGGACTCCACCATTAACAAGGGGGTCAGGGACAGCTGGTCCATCAGCCAGGCTGGGAGACACTCTTTGGAACACTTTTCTAAATCTTCTCTCTGCAGAACTGATAGTCATTTATACATAGGATTTGTCTAGGTTTTGACCAAATAAGTGCTTGACACAAATAAAAAGAATCTCAGAACTTATTTCAGAGATAAGAGAATTCAGCCTTTCACTTCTGAGGTGGGAAACTGGAGAGGCTCAGAGAGGTGACATGGCTGATGGGACCCTCCTTCAACCTAATCCAAAGCCCTGGGTGTGGGAGGCTCTGCCAAGGAGCCACGCCCCTGGGCCTGTGGGATGAGCACCTGGATTCCCACACAGCAGGSCTTTCTGAGACTCGCGGGTGGAAGGAGAGGACCCAGCAGCCGAGGGGCCAGGCCTGCCGCACTGTCGGGCCTGCCCTGACGTTGGGCCACTCAGGAGGAGAGACATGGAACGGCAAAGAGATGGAAGCTTCTAGAAATGCTGCATGTGGTGGAGGAAAGTGAAGAGTTTTATTTTAAGCAGAAGTTCACTTCACCGCTGCTTTACCGTGAGTGGTGTGATATCTCATCATAAGGAAACGAGGTGTGAGGGGAAGGGAAGTTGGGAGGAGCGGATACTCAACAGACCCAGCCCGTGGGGGGTCTTGGGTGTCCTACAGGGCGGCTCATCTGGGGAATCAGAGTCACCATCTCAAGTCACACATCAAGAAAAACTCCAGATGTTACAATGCAACCCAAATRGAAAGGAGCACAGGAGAATTAGTTTGTAACCTCAGAGTGAAGARAGGCTTTTGAAATATGACTCAAAGTCCAGAGTCCATAAAAATGATTGACAGATTTGACCACAAAGAGARTTAAAACCTACATGGAAAAAATATCAGTAGGCTCAAAAGACAAATGGAAAACTGGGAAAAACCATTTGTAATATGCCACCAGTAAAAGGTCTACTCCTGAAATACGTAAACGAGTGAGAAAAAGACCAGCATACCAAACGAAAAATGAATGACAGGTCTCAGAAAAGGAATTACAGACAATTCTTAATTACGCATGAAAATTTGAAAAAATTTACTAATAATAAAAAGTGAAATTAAAATGTCTCAGCACATTTTTAATCTATTTTCTTAGCAAAATTTTACTAGGTTCATTATGTACTGCATTGGCAAAGACTTTGGGAGAAATAAGCTCTCTCACTGATGGGCTAAATACGAATTTCCTTTGAAGGTGAAGTTGTCAGTATCTGTCGAACTTACAATTATGTGTACTCTTGACCCCTGTTTTAAGAAATTTATTTTACTTTATGTGCCAGGATATAACTAAAGACTGGAAACAACCTGAATGTCCATTAATAGGGGACTGGCCCACGACAGCCGGTACACTCACACAATGAAGGATCATGCGTCGATGGAGAAGATCTGGAAGAACATGCTGGGAAGACAGACGCTACCATGAGCAGAGAGCTCTAGGCAGACGAGGAAGAGTATGTTCATCTTATATGCTTTTTGATTTTTGRAATCACATAAATATATTATGTATTCAGAAGTTTATTTAATTAACCAGGAGCTGGTTTTCCCAGCATTAACCCCACTGAATCTGAAGGCCCAGGGTGAGACTGCCCTGCTCGCCCCAAGGGTGTGTTGAGTTAGTTGTTCTTTTGTAAAGACTCTATACAGTCAGCTCCAGCTTCTGGGTTTCAGGGAGCAGTGCAAACCAAAGCCACCATCCCTCACGCAGGAGATGGAGCGCTGAGTGAACCGCCGTCTGCCCAAGTGTGGCGAGATGGATGCCATAATTATTATATGGCTTCCAGAAAACAATCTGTACAATTTATAGCTAGGGATGAACTCCGATTCTCTAATTTTTTTTGTATTATATGTAGAAAAAAAATGAAAAAGAAAGAAAACAACCCATTTTGTGCTCTGAGTGATAAATGAACAAAGAGGGAGCCAGCCAGACTTTGAACCACCAATTCCAACCACTGCCATGCACACTGAGTCCACGATCTGTGCAGAGCAACAATATAGATATTGATGAAAAGACCTAAGGGAGGGACGTCCCACACCCAGGGCCGAGCTGGAAAGTCACCAAAAACCTGTCTTTTCTGATCTCTCTCAGGTGGAAGACATCATGCTCTACGGTCCCRCCAGGCAGGCTGAGGTGGTACCAAGAGAACTGAACCTGCTTGGGCAACAAACCCAGGGTGAGCAGGCCCTTAGAAGCACCGACCCTCACAGCCCTGGACAGGCTGCACCAGGGAGGGCTCATCCAGATGAGAACAGAGCTGCACCTGGGGGAGGCTCAACCTGAGTTCCACACAGGAACGGGACGGAGGCCCCAGAATGCGACAATCTCACACASAGAACGGAGCTAAAGGAGACAAGTGGAGAGCAAACTGTGCGATTTTACCTCCATTGAAATGATGGAAAAAAGCAACCTCTGGCTGTAGAGTRAGGACAGTTGGTGGCAGAAGGGAAGAGGGTGCGGGTGGGGGGCCACCAGTTTGTGCAGAGCCGTCAAGCCATGTCCTTGGTATCTGCAAATGTTTTGCACTTTTCTAAATGTTTTTCATTCAGTAGGTTTTTAAGCATTATAAGGCAGAAAGAGCAGCATGTGAATGAGTTGGGAATCATGCTCTCCCAGCCTCTGCTGAGGTCCCAAAGAGAGTGCAGGCAGAGGCCGGGAGCACCCAGCGCTCTCTGCCAAGACTCCTGGGGAGCTCTGCAGAGATCCCGCTGGATGGCTTAGAGTCATTACATGGCAGCGCGGCCTTGTGGGGGCCTGTAGGCCAGCCCAGGAGGACCAGGTCCTTCACTGAGCAGCGGGAGAAGGCTCTGTGGCCACCTTCAGGCTCAGGAATCTCTCCCGGCTGATATTTCTATAAAAGTTAATTTTCTAGATAATCAAAACTTCTCTCATTAAACAACTCCCTCACTTAAACTGAAATCATCTTTAATGGAATTCCTTCTAAATTGTATTTCACACGTCCCTGAATTTGGAAGATCCACGGTAGAGAATTTAATCAAACAACAAATGACAACGCTTACGATTAAGTGCTGTCTTTGTGCCAGACACTGCCCAAAAGGCTTTCCATCAATGTTTCTCGTTTAATCCTACAGAAATCCTTGGGAATTAAGTCCTATTACTCTTCCTGCTTTATGTATGAGGCTCAGAACAATTCAATAATTGCCCAAGGTCACATGGCAGGTCGAGAGTAGGGGGCCTTCCAAAACCTGAACTCCAACCACACGCCCACCTCTCTTTATAGCCTCATGGACTGAGTCTGTGCGGCACCTTAACAGGCCAAGGGGTGCCCGGGAATGCTAGCTGCACCTCTAGAGATGTGACTGGAGCCCTCATTGTGTTCCTTTATTTCCCTTCTCCTTCCCCGCCCCTGTCCTCCACCCACTGGGTGCTGGGGTGGCACCCAGGGCTCCCCCATGCTAGGCGAGTGCTCCACCGCAGGCTCCCGCCACCGATATCATCGTTTTAGTCGACAGGAGAGCTGTAATCAGTGTGCACAGGCTCCCCCCCAACCCCAACTCCTACCTAAAATCTATAAGGATCTTTTCCACCTCTTTAAAGTCTCAACCCTGTGAGATCTGTTTGGCTGAAGATCCCACAGAGTTGGACCAACTTCTTTATCAGGTTAAGACACCCCTCTGGTTCTCTGCATCTGAAAGTTGTCCTTAAGGGAACTCAGAAGGGAGTCGTGCTGCTCATTGGGTCAACAAGAACAGCCTCACAGTGCCCCTCTGGCCCGCGCTCTCCAGAACACACACCGCGCACCGACCAGCCCGGGGCGGAGGGAGCCTCCTGTCCTTACCCCGTCTTCAAGCTGACCAGGGCGTCCTCGACCCCTTTCTGGTTGAACTTGGTCATGTACTGGTGCATGTAGGGGTAGTTATTCCGGATGTTTCTCTCCGTGCTTCCATTAGGCACCGTCCCAAATCGAAAAGGTGGAGAATAATCATGAGGTCTCTGAAACTGGAGGGGGAGGGGGAGACCGAGAAGGACCAGGAGGAGAGCAGGGGAGCGGGAAGAGGGGAGGGGAGCAGAACAGGAAGAGGAAATTAGCAATCACAGCCTCTGGTGCCAGGAGGCAAACACACATGCATCACACTTCTCCGCCTCTTCCAGGGCAGCGTCTGTGAGCCCCAGGGGCTGGACGCAGCATCTGTGTTTYCCTGTGCTGTCCCCCCAGCCCCAGCACAGGGCCCACCTGGCCGGGTGGCAGTAGACAGCCTTCAGGATACATTTTCCTGTGACCTTATAGACCAGCAGGATACCAGCAGGCAGGCAGGYGGGGCTCGGGAAATGCCGGCCGAGCTAGGCTTAAGGTAGGATTTTAGTCCAATTCATTTCTCCACCTTGTGATGAGATTCCAGACGACCCACGGATCGCACCCTGCTCTGAACCCCACTGGTAGCTACTTTTACCCSGAATGTGACCCTGTTGCCCTTCGTCCGCTCACTTCCGGAGTCACCAGTCTCTACGGCTGTACTCAGGGAATGCCCAGGGGGCCAGGCACAATTCYGGGCACACGGCAGGCTGGCTCTACGCAGCCGCTTCCCGAGGCGGCCCAGGACTGCACGGCTTTGAGCCTCTGTAAAGGCACGTTGTYCGTGGTCCACGCGTCTCCCCTGACCACCTGGCGAATGCTGTCTGTCCTCCGCTTTGAGAGGTCAGGTGAATSTGCCTGATGGGAGGTCAAGAGGACGCGCTGGTTCCGAGTCCCAGAAATACAGCTACACCCCGACAGGCCACCGGAAGGGCCACAGCGGTGAGCTCAGGCTCGCCGGGGGAAATGAGTCTGTGTCACTTAGCGCTGGGGRCCCGAGGCAGCTCACTTTGCCTAACACTGGCCCTGCCCACCTTCTCCCAGTGGAGCAGGGGCCAGGGTGGTCCCTGCTCCGTGGGGCCCCTGAAGTGAAGAAGGAACCAGAGCTGCTGCAGGTTTCGGTGAAATATGGAGCCCCGGAGCCAGAAGGCAGTGGGCAGACGCAAGTGAGGACTGTGCTGGGAGCCCTGGCAGGGGTCACTGGATCCTCAGGACAGTGAGGACTGGGCTGGGAGCCCTGACAGGGGTCACTGGATCCTCAGGACAGCCCTACGGGGGGCGAGGCTGAGAGGCCCGACTTACACCTGGGGAGGCCGAGGCGTGGTGCCACGTGGCCCAGGACTGCAGGGCCACTGAGACCTACAGGGGAGGCCCTCACTCATGGTTCCTCAGAGACCACCGAGTGCCTCCTCCTCAGAGAGGGTGGGGGCTGGAGACCCCAGAGGGAAGACACCCATTGGGTCCGMGTCAGACCAGGCCCCAGGACTCGCTCAGGGTCCTCTCCAGCTTGCAGCGCCACGCGCCTTTCCTGGGACCGGGAACTGCCTGAGAAGCGTGCGGTTTTGCCCAAGTCAGCGCGACCGGCGACGCGGCTCTTTCCCCCAGACTCACACTCGGCGTCACTGTTGGCCAGACTTTGGGTGGAAGACCATTTTCCCGGGATCAGGCCGGCCTCATAGACAGCCAGAAGTGGCTTTGAGAGGAGGGTCCTTTCTTTGTCCAAATGAGATTCTCTGCCAAAACACACCTTGCATCGAGTGTGAGTGTGAGTGTGAGTGTGCGTGTGTGTGCGCGTGCACCCCTGTGCAGCAAAATGCTCTCTGCCATCAGTTGGTCAAGCAGCGCCCTCGCTCATCACCAAAAGTCGAGGCCCCTTCCCCAGCTCCTTGGGCCTGCAGCTGCCCTCGCTGAGACCAAGCACCCGGGCGTGGTCGTGGATCTGGCCCTGGCCACTGCCGTCCACCTCAGAGGGGCTGCCGACAGATGCCTGTTTGACTAACGGCCCTCACTCCACTCCCCACTGTCCTAGAGGAGCCGCTGCTCTTTTGAGACCCGCTTTCTTCCCTGCCCCTGACGGGCACAGTGACGGAGACAGACGCTCAGCCTCTGTGATGCTCCGGCGTTCTCTGGCTTTGGGAGCAGYATCCTTCACACACACTTCAGCCTGGGGCCAAGATCCAGGGGTCTAGACCAGAGACTGACAGACTTGTTAAGGCAGGACGCACAGCACACTCCACTGCTTCCCTGTGTGTACCCACACGGGTGCCCACGCTCACGAAACTCCACTGTACTCCTTCTTCTACACGTGACACACTCCGGTGTTATCCATTATGCTTTTAATGGTCACAACTCTTGGTTTCACGGCTCACAGAGGAGTCCCGGCCTACGGTGTGAAACAGGTAGGGGCGTCTCCKTGGAAGGCGCTCCATGGCAGTCCCRGGTAGGCCAGCCCTGTTCCACTGAAGTGGGACTTTGTCCCAGAGAGCTCCGAGTGCCATCAGAAAGGAACGAGCACTGGTGTTAGGGAAGGAAGGGGCAGCACAGAGCGTCCCCTGCCTGCAGGACAGAGAGCATCAACCCAGGGTCCAGGAGGTCCTGGCTGTCTCCAGGCTGCCCTCACTGTTCCTGCGCACCGGCTGCCCCGGCCTCGGGGAAAAYCGAGGGCAGCTGCTCTCCTCCCACGTGGAACTGTGTTATTTGGGGGCAGCTCAGTAAGGAGTCTGAGCCTCAGCTTCTCTAGCTGTGCACTAAGGACCCCTTTTGAAGTTAATTGTGAACTGCTTCAAAACACACCTGGCRTCCCCACCGCTTGCCACACCTCGCCCATCCTGTACGTGATAATCTCATATGCACGCCTCTCGGAAACCTATTTGACTTCATCCAGAGTCGCTGGGCCAATCATGAAGCCAGCCGCCCTCCAGGCTGGAGAGCCAGCCTCACTTTCTAAGTCTTCCCCTTCAACATGGGGACCCGTTGAAGTCRTCCAGGGAACAACATGGCAAGTACTGGTGGTGGACGGGGAGAGACGCAGGTCAGGGAAAGAAGACTTCTAGGAAAATGCAGCGATTCATCGGGTTGCTCCTCCCTTCTTCTTGTGAACCCCAAGCCGCACACTGTGGTTAAAGACCTYGCTCGGCCTCTGTGTCCATGGTTAAGGACACCTGGAGCCTGTGGCCCTGTTTCTAGCAGGGTCTTCAGCGGGTGAGGAGCCGGGTGTTGGTGGACGTGAGCAYGTGGCAGAGGCAGCCTTGATGGGAGCCCGGGGTCGGAGGCCCCCTGACAGGAGCCCTGGACAGGGACCACGCAGCGGCACAGGGAGGCACCCTGCAGGGGAGCACCACTCCTCGAGAACACGCAGAAGTCCCTGGACTCCTTCCTTCCACGGGCTGCCACAGAAGATCAGCCCCCGCAACAGCCCTCCAGGCCCCGGAAGTTGGGAATGGTTTGTATCAGACAATGACAATGAC